ATAAATATTGCCTGCTTCTCCTAGAGTTCTTAATATTTTTTTCTTATAATCTCATCAAATGTACTTGAATTTTTCATGCTTCATGATTCAAGACGGTGCAACATGGATAAATGAAAAACAATAGCTCCAGAAGAGAAAGGTTCTAGTTACCTAATACGAGTGCTGTGTAGGATAAATAAGTGTAATGCATGACCAAAATTGCAATAGATACCATATACCAAAATCAAAGAGAAGCAAGACATTGAATTTGCATACAGTTCATTTTTAAAAAAAGGACCCAAAATTAGCGAGTTGCATTTGCATGTGTTTAATCAAAGGGCAACATATGTTCGTTACGTACCAATCCATATAGAAGGGCAGGGAAACCACCAAGCTCAAAATCCATATGATAACTGATGGTGAAGATCTAGGTAGGTAACGTTATTATCACTCATCTCTCTTGAAGAACAAAGAACCATCAGCTCAATCCGGCATGACTTCTCTAATTCAAATGCTGTTGTTCCTCCAATCTTAGCATAATAATACCTTTTTAGACTTGGACAAAGTAGTAGCATCAATGCAAGAGGAAGCATCCACGTAGCGAATATCATTTACTGGTTTTCCACAGTTTAGGAAAAGATGAGCTTCTCCAGGATGAAAGTAATATGGATTGCTGTCTGTTGTGACCTTATCAATGCCAAGGGAATAGAGAGGTAGTGAAGAATAGTTACCTTGATTAACATCAGGATCCACAACTTTGATCATTGAGTGATTATAATCAATTTCCTGCACATAGAATTTTCCCGAATTAGGGTGTAAAACTGTGACATTGTTCAAGCAAAATTGATGAGAATAAGATGACAGCACACATATGACCTCAAGTGAACCATTGTATATTCATGGAAGTCTGATAATGAAAGCAAGAGTTAAAAAGATATAAAAAGCTGTAAATGCGCTTATTGAGGAGATTTAGGCTAAAAGTAACACACAACAAGTGAATAAAAACTTGAAGCATTGTTAAGATTTAGTTAACATTTTTTAAGTCCAAGAACAATTTATTTGAGGTCGTTTTGACTTAATTACATAGTTTGGATCGAAATCACTCAATTTGACCACAAATGCTCACTTTTGTTACAATGTTGCGAACTGATATTTTGCATTATTTTAAGTTGTTTTGAACGATTTTTATGTTATTTTCACTTAAATTTGTGTTTTTTTTTTGTTGAGTTATTTGGGCTAAAAATTGTTTTTAATTGAAAGTCTAATTCGTGTCTTATTAGGAATAACACAAATTCAAACATTTTTAGAAGTAGTGTACGTCCAATTCTACTTTTAATTGGATTTGTGTACGGAATATAGTTTCTTATTCTTAGTTGGACTAATTTAGCTATTTAAAGGGTTGTAACTATAATTGGAGATGGTTAATTGAATATGAGATTATTTGAGAAAATTTTCTCTTGGTTCATTTGTGAACTTTACAGAACTTATCAAAGATTATTTTTGTGATGTTCTAATTTGATTTATTACTCTTCTTCTTAATCGTTTTTTAGTGTGGCATCAAATTCCTTTATATCTTTTGTTCTTCTTACAATATAAATAACAGGTCAAAGTTTGTCTTCTATAAATCTTATTTGGCTTTCCTTGGGGTTTTGAATCTCTTTGTTCTTATTGCGCTTTTTGGGGTTCACATCAAGAATAGATTATACTTATACTTTAGGTCTCTACATTTTGGTGGATTGGTGCTTAATCAGAAAGGATGATGAATATTTAGAATATTGCCACAAGAAGAAGCTGGACATTGATGGCTTGCTTTGGCACTGTAATTTTCATGAGGAAGGGCAAGAAGAAGGGCTGCAATGAGGAGCCCTATTCTAGCCATAAGGAGACAAGCAGAGATGAGAGAAAATCTTTGCTCAGTTTAATACTAATAGGTGGTGCAACCCCACAACTGTTTTTTTCTGCACGAGAACTTTGAAAATGAATTACAAAATGTGCTTCACCAAATAATGACTGGGTTTTAATTTCTTGGCAAGTTCAGAAACACTGACTATTGCAGTCAGTTATTGTCCTATTGAAAGGAATGAAATTGATGCAACCCCACAACTGAATTTTTCTACATGAGAATTTTCAAAGTCAATTTTGTACATCATCAATTAATGCCTGGGTTTTAGTTTCTTGGCAAGTTCAGGAATACTGGCCATTACATCTTATTAAGTGAAATGAAACTAGTGCAACCCTACAATTGATTTTTTCTACACCAAAATTTTCAGAAGTCATGGTTATGTAGGCTTCTTTGTTAGGAGCTTAACTAGTTCTTTAGAATTATCAACTTCTATAGAGAT